TGAATTAAATTATATTATTGAGTATATTGATTATAATCACATCTACTTGAATTCTAATTTAATTGACTTCAGTGAGTTACAGAATTTATATCATTTGTAAGCATAAAAATCCATATTTTATTAGTGGGGAGGTACATACACAGCGGGATGTTAATTGCACACATCAATTTCGGGTTCAGGATTTTGCCTAGAGGGGAGCTAGTCAGATGGAGGAGGGTTCCAACTCTAGCTGTAACATTTTATTTCTGCTTTTTAAAGAAAAGTATTTGGATCAAGTATGGCATTTTTGGATGGATACATAAGTCTTAACATGATTATCTGTAGTTCTCTGTATACTGAGAATGTTTAACGATTCAAATTTTTGAAATATATATTCAGTAAATAGAATACTTACTTGCCAGGGACTGACCCTGCTGACACCTTGATCTTCGACTTCCCATCTTCCAGAGCTGTGAGAGATAAAATTCTGTTATTTAAGCTGCACAGCCGATGGTATTTTTCTCCCGGAAGCCCAAGCTAAGATTGTACTCATGTGAGTCATGTACCATTGCCCCTTTTGCCACTGGTTTATTGTACTTGGCACATACTGATAATAAGGACCCTCTTGAGGCCGGCCATTACACCAGTGTATTGAGCCGTGAGTCAGAAATATATATTTAAACATAATTTCGTTGCCGGCAGCCTCTCCTGCAAATGTAACCATTGATGGTCTCTTGATACCAGAAACTAACACCCACAGCAGGGTGCTATCAATCCAGCCGACTGGACGTCCACTGAGGACTATTTGTGGTGGCAGAGGGAATGTGGGGGCCCCAGCCACAGGAACATAAGTAGCCACAGCAGAATGTCCAGAGACTCGGTCACAAAAGTGACGAATGTGGGCGCTGATGAACTGGCCCGGAAGCCAGTGTGGGGCATGTGTGTCACCATCTTGTCAAAATGCTGGGGCTGTGCCGAACCCTCCAGCCCCTCCTCTTGTCTAAGACATGCATGGATCTCAGTGCCACTGCGCTCTTGGGCTGTCGGCCAAAGTCAGTCCCATCTCAGGTTGCCAGACTTTTGCACAAGCGGCCACTTCCCCTCTCTTGCCCCTCCTCAGGGTCCCTACAATTAGGCTCTGCAAGCGCTAACCTCTGAAACACCCGCCCCTCAGAAAACTTCAGTTTGCAGCCCTCACATTTCTCTCCCCCCTGGTCTCTGGCTTTCCACCTTCATCGCCATCTCTCTCAATCTTTTTTTCT